CTAGCTGCATTTTGTTTATTTATGCTGTTATCGATGTAATGTATGCTTTAGTAATTATCGAAATAAATAGAAAAAAAAGAAAAAAAAGAAGGGTTATGGTACCATCGTGTGGACATTCCGCACACAAGCTGGTGCGTATATACTGAGTGTATCAGCGTGCTACGTTAGTGTTAGCGTTAGGGTTAGGGTTAGGGTAATTAGGGTTCGTGTTAGGGTTAGGGTTAGGGCTGGGGTAATTATGGTTAGTGTTAGGGTTAAGGGTAGGGTTAGTATTATGGTTAGGGATAGGGTTAGTATTAGGGTTAGGGGTAGGGTTAGTGTTAGGGTTAGGGGCAGGGTTATAGTTACCCCCTCACGGCAACGTTAAGGTAGAATTATTAGACGATATTTAAGTCTGTAAACATCATAACTTTGATCGTATAATTCATTCGTATTCACTATGATCATTTCGCTATTGGAGCGGCTTTAGATTGTTTGCAGATGTTTTGGGACAGAGGTGTCCTTCTAGTTTCGGTTACGTTTCAACCATATGATACGTCACTAAAATAGTATTCGTCGCTTTTCACCAACAGAGGGCGTTGAAGTACCCACGCCAGAGCCAGAGACCTATTGGCCTGAGCCAGAGCCAGAATCTGGTACGTATTGCTAGTGCAGAGGTCCCAGACTGAAGTCACATAGGCGTAATTCATTTTACAGAGGACGTGTGCAATATCGTAGCATGTTGCCTCCTTGACACGTTGTCGTCTATAATATTAATACACCCATAATATTGGTCATTTTTGTGATATCTCGTCTTCGAGATGTCGTATCTTTTCGTGTTTTTTTTATTTTTTATTATTCGTCTTGAACATTGGTCATTTTTATATGGCATCTCATTTTTGGTTGCCATCTTTCCGCAATATCTCGTCGTTTGATGGATAATCTTTGATAAATTATCTTGAATTTTTTTCCTGCTATCTCATCTTTGATTGACATCTTAATTGCTGCAATATCTTATCTTTGCTTTTGACCAACTCATCAAAGATTTTATGAAAATAAAAAAGCCTTCCCCCCGCACGCCCTTGCGTGCGTTTTGAGAGCACATACTCGCTCTCACACATTAATTCGTCTGCTGGTTTTCCTTGTACAGAGGGCGACAGTAAGCCGGAACAAGTACAGACGGAGGACAAGTCCGGGGCGGAGAGAACAAGATGCGTCGGCGTTGCCATGGCAATCGTGATGCTGCTGGCAACGATGGTGGTGTGAGAAACAGAAACACTTGTTTTCCGCGGAGTTTCATCGTTTGTTGCGTGCCGGCGCATAGATATTCTACAATATACATATATATACACATGCATACATATGTTAAATGTATATGTATATGTATATATATATATATAATGTATATTGTAAATGGCTTCTATGATGCGCGGTGCCCTGTGTCGTGAGTGTGTAATACGGAGTCATGTCAGCAATGAGCTGCCTCTCTCTCTCTCTCTCTCTCTCTCTCTCTCTCTCTCTCACTGTCCTGCATGAGTGCTGAGAGAGAATAACTGTGTACACGTGTCTCCACGCGGAATAATCGATGCAATGCAGCAGAATGTTTCGCATGCAAATCTGTGTTTGATGTCTGGCTCATATTCCCCATCAGAGAGCTGTCTCTCTCTCTCTCTCTCTCTCTCTCTCTCTCTCTCTCTCTCTCTCTCTCTCTCTCTCTCTCTCTCTCTCTCTCTCTTTTTCTGTCTCTTGCAGCCCCAGCCCTCAGCCTCCCGACCCCTCCCCTCCCCCTCTCCCCTTGGCATCTCCTCGCGCGCATCGAAGCGTGCATGTCATCAGAGAGCGTTCTCTCTCTCGCTGTCTGTCTACCTATCTCTCACTATATCCATCTGGATCCTCTGTCACCAGGGTATGACATATAAGGCGATGCCACACGTCCGCTTGTTTCGCGTGTCCGAGGTGCAACATTACAAACCGGCTCGTCACTGCGAAAAAAGTTTATCTTAGTTAGATCCAAATTAGGTTAAAAATAACTTACACTGACGAAATTTTTGTCCATCTCTCCTATAGACTTCCTCAGGTCTGATGAGGAAGTCTATCGGAGAGATGGACGAAAATTATTTCGTCAGTGTAAGTTACTTTGAACTTAATTTGGATCTAACTGATATAAACTTTGTTAGCATGTGAACTATAGAGATCAGATAAAATTATTCAATCATTGGCTCGTCACTGATTTCATTGGCTGTTTTCCACCGTGACGTCATGATGCATGAGACGTAAATACCGTAATAATAAACACGTAGCTATCAGAGAAGGATATAAGAGAATGAGGAGGAGGAGGAAGAGGAGGAGGAGGAGAAGGAGCAGCAGCAGCAAGAGGTGGAAGAAAGTGCTTGTCGGTTCGCTCGTAGATTTTTTCGAAATCGGAAGAATTGAATGCAACACGTGACATATTCCGTGGGGGCGCACTAGTACATAGGGCACAGCTATTTTTCCCCGCGGGGAGGGGTGGGTGGGGGTTGGGGATAATGATAATTAAATATTAATTGATATAAATCGTTAATGATATGCAAACAGCCATATGCTCCTGATCATCATGAATATTTATAAACCACGGAGGAACGACGTGTTTGCCCTTGGCTTGGTAACGAGATACGGGCGTTAGAACGTAGCAGCCGACTTAATGATCTAAAACTCAGGATGCTCGTGGGATAAGCTATCTATGCCAAAGCGTTTATTTTTATCGTGTTTCACCCCCCGTTTTCTACACTAAACTAGGCGGCAGCAGTATGAAACATTTTACGACGGACTGAATTTACGGTTATTCGGTTTTTCGCGGCCATGCTGTGTAGATCAGGCAGTTGTTGGGCCTTTACAGATAAATCTACGGCTTGGCTCAGGGAAGATAGCGGTGCTAATGGAAGTGCCAAATAATTTCTCCTTTTCTCTCGCCATCGTCTCTTTCTTTTCTTTGTGTCGGCGAGACGTTTGGTTTGGCCGTTTTAATTATAATGATGATGATGATGATGATGATGATGATGAGGATGATAACAACTGTAAATTTTTGTTCGTGTACATTTTAGTCGTATGAGTTTAGAATGTCGTTTAGCTGCGTTTCTGTACGCGCACGTACGCGCGTGCGTGTGCGAGTGCGCGTGCGCGCGACGTACGCATGTGTTTGCATCTTTTCATTCTTTCGCAACCACTTCCTTGTAAAGTTGTGAATCGTATAGTTTTTATTTCGCAGATGTGTAAGTATTAGTGAAAGAAATAGTTCGATATCGACGCATTTCTATACATAGTTTAATGTGTTTTGTTTTTGCCTTTTTCCGAAATAGACGTATGAAAATGTTGCACGCTCGACTCTCCCTGCTTGCCCTGCCTTCCTGCAGGGGTGACCCGTTATTGCATCACACGCGACAGTTTAAGTACAGATACACGAGTATTGCTGCTGTATAGATGCATTGACGAACCTTTTCCAGCTTTTTGCTGGTCTAGAGTAGTGGTAGTAGTAGCCGAAGGGGAATATACTCATCTGTGCAGGCACACGTGATTAGGGGTAATGCGTGTGTAAAACCTTGCGCCCGTTGTCAAAAACAAAATCTTAACATTAGTCTTAACACTAACATTTTCTCGTAGACCGTCGACAGCACTTCGTATTGTTCTCGTTTCGTATTGTTATGAGGAAATCTGCCACAATTTTTCATTCAGGTAACTTCGCAGCGTTTCTGTCGACGGCCTAAAAGAAAAGGTTAATGTCAAGACTAATGTTAAGACTAATTTTGTTTCTGGCAACGGGCCCCTTGCTTCGTGAGAAGGCAGGGTACCGATTGCCATGTAGATCGTTCTAGAACAAGTAGTATCTGTATCGGTATCACACTCGCGTGCGCGTGTGCATGCGTGTGTCCACGCGTGCGTGATTGTGCGCGTGCGTGCGTGCGTGAGTGCGCGTGTGCATGTGTGTGTCCACGCGTGCGTGATTGTGTGCGTGCGTGCGTGCGTGCGTGCGTGCGTGCGTGCGTGCGTGCGTGCGTGCGTGCGTGCGAGCGCGTGTGCATCGCGCTCGTTGTGCAGTGCATTCTCAAGTAGTCACCCGTATACACACACACGCACGCACGCACGCACACGCACGCACGCATACACGCTGTTGTGATTACAGATCTCGTAATGTTTTCATGTAATCAGATACGAGGGGATGCCCTGTCGTAAATCTTGTAATTAATTAATTAATTAGTTAATTGATTAATTGTGCGTTATTAATCGCTGGAGACGGTTCAGCCGCCGTTGGTTGGACAGCTTTAGTCGTCTCTCAGTACATGATACAAACTTGCTGTCTCTCACACACTCGTTCATCTCTGAGTTCTACTTTGAAGTGTACTGTTTTGACACTTTACGTTGGTAGATGTCTTACCCAGTCCTCGCCCTCTCTCGCTACAGCAGGGACTAGACTTAGCTCATACACCCGTTGCGCTTCATTGCGGCTATGTTGTGATGAGGTAAATGTAATAGTAGCAACAGCTAAAACTGGAAGTAGCCAGTGTTACCATGCCCCTCACTTCACTTACAGCTATGTTGTGGTTAGCTGAGGGGTATTACGTAAACGGTGAAACCTTGGTAACCCGTCCTACCACACCCCTCGCTTCACTGTTGCTATGTGGTGGTGATATGAGGGTATATGATATAGTAACAACAGCTTTAGCTGAGATGAGAGTGGTATGGACCCTCAAAAGTGTGTTGCGCACGCCAGCAAGCAAACCAATGTTTTCTATACGTTTTCCAATAAAGGACTGACGTGATTGTCTGATGTGATGGATAGTGGTTCTTTCTTGATCTTTTGTGTGTGTGTGTGTGTGGGTTGATTTCTCCACGCCAGACAGATCTATCAGTTGCATAAAGTAGGTGTTCTCTATCCTACAGGTTAGGGCGGTCTCATAATTACAAACACAGGTCTACTGATAACAATTTATTAAAGAAATATATACTGAGATACCCCCTAACCATATTAAATGTATATTCATCACAACATATAACTCCCCTGGTGAGATATTGTACATGCGCTAACACACTAACTTAGCCAGATTGTGTACTGGTTTGTATATGCAGTGGGGAGCTTACATGCAAGGTCTTCCTCCCATTTCTTAAGTAAAGTCTCCTGATGGAATGTTATCTCATAAATCTATGCTAGGATAACTCCTCTTCATTTTAAATGCATAATCTTTGCAAAATATTATTCTTCTCGGGAGTTATTGCGCATGCGCGAGCACCGTTTCAGGCGTCCAATACAGACTGAAAAAAAACTTTATAATATAGCGTGCTGAGGGAGAAAGGGGGTGGGAGACTGAGAAAATGCGACAGGAAAGATAGCTGGGGGCGGTAGAAGAAGAGGGAGGCTGAGCGTGGGACAGGGGAGGCAAGGGGGAAGACGCAAGTGCAGAAAGTAGGTGTTTTGTACCCTACAGGCTAGGTCGCTCTCCGAATTATAAACACAGGCCTACTGATAACAATTTATTAGAGAAATCTATGCTGAGATACTCGCTAATCATATTAAATGCATATTCATCGCAAAATATAACTTCTCTTGTGAGATATTGTACATGCGCTAACACACTAACGTAACCAGATTATGTACTGGTTGGTATATGCAGCGGGGAGCTAACATGCAAGGTCTTCCTCCCATTTCTACAGGCTAGGGCGCTCTCCGAATTATAAACACAGGTGTACTGATATAAATTTATTAGAGAAATCTATGCTGAGATATCCCCTAACCATATTAAATGCATATTCATCGCAAAATATAACTTCTCTTGTGAAATATTGTACATGCACTAACACACTAACGTAACCAGATTATGTACTGGTTGGTATAAGCAGCGGGGACCTTACATGCAAGGTCTTCCTCCCATTTCTTAAGCAAAGTCTCCTGATGGAATGTTATCTTATAAATCTATGCTGGGATAACTCTTCTTTATTTTAAATGCATAATCTTTTCAAAATATTGTTCTTCGCTGGAGATATTGCGCATGCGCGAGCACCGTTTCAGGCGTGCAATACGGACTGAAAAAAACTTCATAATATAGCGTGCTGAGGAAGAAAGAGGGTGGAAAACTGCGGAAAGGCGGTAGGGAGAATAGCTGGGGGCTGTAGAGGAAGAAGGATGCTGGGCGAGGAACAGGGGAGGCAAGAGGAAGGACGCTAGGGCAAAAAGTAGGTGTTTTGTACCCTACAGGCTAGGACGCTCTCCAAATTATAAACCCAGGCCTCCTGATAACAATTTATTAGAGAAATCTATGCTGAGATACCCCCTAACCATATTAAATGCATATTCATCGCAAAATATAACTTCTCTCGCGAGATATTGTAAATGCGCTAACACACTAACGTAACCAGATTGTGTACTGGTTGGTATAAGCAGCGGGGAGCTAACATGCAAGGTCTTCCTCCCATTTCTTAAGTAAAGTCTCCTGATGGAATGTTATCTTATAAATCTATGCTAGGATAACGCCTCTTCATTTTAAATGCATAATCT